GTAGAGGGAATAACAGGATTAGGTGAAAGGGATACTCTCAGCAGACAGCTCTGTGAGGACGCAGAGCTGTGAGAGAGTCTTTCCCTCGTTTGTAAAGGAAGGGACTAACTTCTAAAGCCTTTTTCAACAGAAGTTCCTGTTAGACTGTTTCCGCCTTCCCTGCTCCAGTCCCCAGTCCACAGAACATGACTCAACAAACATTACCCAACCCATGACCCTACTGGGCTGCTTGACGCATAATTCCACTGGGTGAGAAGTGCAGGCTTACACTTCATCAGAGGAGAACTGCTGCCTTAGGCTGAGTCTGCCTTGCCCTCGCCCTCTTCGTTTCCATGGAAGCCCACCTGAGGGTCTCAGCACACCATGGAGCTGACTTATGCACAGTACTATCACCTGTTGGAAAACTAGCCACCTCACTAACTCTCTTATCCAGTGAAATAGTGGGTCACCTGGCTGTTAGGGGTACTCACTGGGCTCATGAAGTCATTTTTTTAATTAAAAAAATTAAATTAATTAAATTTTAAATCAAAAATTTTAACTTAAAAATTTTATTGATTTATTTACTTATTTGGTGGGGGGAGAGGTAATTAGGTTTTTAACTTATTTATTTATTTAAATGAAGTCACTGGAGATTGCATGCTAAGCACACACTCTACCACTGAGCTAGACTCTCCCCTCCAGAGTCTTTTTTTTTAAAAATACCATGAATTATTATTATGAATATCAATTTGACACACTAATTTGAAAATTAATTTTATTAGCATAAAATAACACCATATCTTATTATCACATTAAAAGTTGAATATTTCTTTGCTTTTTATTTATTTCCCTTATGTATTAACACCCACTGTGTTTAAGAAGTTAAAGGGAAAATTTTTAAATTGAGAAAGCGCTTTATGTAAGCTTAAGTTTTTAATTTGAATCTGGGCAAGACTGTCACAAATCCACATCAGCAACAGATCACCTGGGCTTGCCCTCTTAGGAAAGCAGTTTCGGAAACACTGTTTCATCCAAATGATCTCATTGAAGATCTTGAAGTGCTTTCCATTTTGCTTATTTGCACACACACCTACAAGGATAAAAAGGTGCTGCGCCACCCCTGCACCCCTAATCGACAAATTAGAAATCTTAGCTAATATTTCATTCGAGGAGTAGCAATCAGAGCTGGAACAGTGTTCCACATCCTTCACTGCTCTGTTTTGACGGGGAACGATACTAGGTGCTTGTTTTTCGATACCTGGAAGTGGTGGTTGAGAATCCAGAATTCCTGCCTTAAGTACAAAGTTTATGTAAGCCACATACCTGCAACAAACTCTGCAGCTTCATTCCACATTGCTGTGACTTTTCTTCTAGTAATTTAACTTCTTTTACTTGTTCTGCCCAAAACGTCTCTTTCTTTTGCAATAAGGAAGGAAGCATTTTGTTGGAGTATGCTTGGATCCACAGCATATCAGCAACAAGCTTCTGGAAAAAAAGCTATGAAATCAAAAGGATTTTAATACTTATTTATTTTTACATTGTGAAAAATCTTAAAAGCCAAGTTATTTCAACACTTCGTATTGTCATATTTGCTTTTTAATCCAAAATTCCAGGACAGCCATGTAGAGTCAAACATATGAGAAAACAAAATAAAAACTGCCTATGTATCCTTGATCTTTGAGCACTAACAGCATTTTAAAAAATCATAAAGAGGCAGGAGGATATAGTTCAAGTGGTAGAATGCATGCTTGTAAGTACAAGGTCCTGGGTTCAATCCCCGGTACCTACTCTAAAAATAAATAAATAAACCTAATTACCTCCCCCTGCCAAAAAACAAACAAACAAATCATAGAGAAAGAAAAATTATCCTAGGTAATATTTTTCCACATAATAGTCCATATTAAAGGGCAAACATTATTTAGTCAGTTTAAATTTCCAGTGAGATTTTCCTAAATCAGTTATCCCAAGTGTTAAGAAACTTTACAAAAAAGTAGACACTGATGTGGCTGATTAGTTTCAAGATGATAAACTGGATGGATAGATGTGTGAGCCCAAGAAACTCACATGCTCAATAGCCAGGGGTTCCTAAACTCTGGTTCTAACGTCTACTCAATAAAAGGCTAAATAAAGGGAACTTTCTGATGGGGTCTACTGGGATTCCAGCTGGAAAAACTCCTAGAAAAGCACTTTGAGACCTTTAAAGAGGAAGGCTTCCCTTCACATGGTTCTCCATTTATAATCGGCTGCCCCCTCTCATTGTTTGGGGGGGTCTCTTATTAGGCAAATCCCTTCTCCTACTCCTTGAAAAAGGTACACAGAAGGGTTTATAAAAAGCACCTAGCACAGGGCCTGACACACTGCAGATATCAGTTAACATATTTCCTCCTCTTCCTCTCCAACCTTTATACAATATTACCTTTGAATTTTTCTTAGACTAAGGTCTACTTATCAAAAGCCTGGACTTCAGCTTGATGAAGGTAGGAACTATGCCACACATTTTTATTTTCAGCACTTAGATGGCTGTCTATCTGTTGTCAGTGATCATGAGGTTTTTGTTTAATGAAATGAATGGAAAATGAAAGGATTTATTGTAGCACTGCAATAGATACACATTTATGTGTTTAAATATTTCTTTTGATCTCAGTTCTTACTAAAGCCTCTCCTAACCTGCTAAATTCAATTCCCTCTATTAAACGCTCTCAAAACACATACTCCAATTTTAATTTTAAATTTGCTTGAATGACTCCTTCACAAATATTTCTCCTCAATCAACTGAGAGCTCCGTAAATGTAAGGAACTATCTGTTTTGACTCACAATCATATTCTCAGTTTAGCAGGGTTCCTGGTACACAGTGAGCACTCTAATGGATGTTTGCTAAAGGAATGAAGGAACAATGCACACTTCACCAAGGAAGAAAATGGGACACTCTCAGTTCACACTCAGAAAAATGTAGAGTGATGAAAAGGTGATATGAGCTGGTGTCTTACCTTGTGATTTTGTATTTGAGCCTGTAAGGCATTTTTACTTTTAGTCTGGTGTAAGTGGTCATGAGCAAGCTTTTCCTTTCCGATATTCACCAGTTCCACCATGCCTTGCAACAGAGCATCTTGCTGGCTCTCGGTGATAAAAGGGCTGCTGAGTTCTGTGTATCTGGTTCTCAGGATTCCCCATGTACTGTCAAGAACATCCTGAAAAGAAAGAGCAGGTGTGCACAAACATTTTCATCCAGCCATGAAAATAATCCAAATGAAGACTAAATCCAAACTCCCTTGATGGAAGAAAAAAGTCTTACACTTTTTTTAAACTGAAGTATAGTCGGTTTACAACATTGTGTTAATTTCTGGTGTACAGCATACCAATTCAGTTATATATATATATATTCCTTTCATATTCTTTTTCATTATAGGCTATTACAAGGTATTGAATATAGTTTCCTGTGCTATACAGTAGAATCTTGTTGTTTATCTATTTTATATATAGTAGTTAGTATCTACAAATCTTGAACTCCCAATTTATCCCTTCCCACCCCCTCCTACTTCCCCCCTGGTAATTGCAAGTTTGTTTTCTATATCTGTGAGTCTGTTTCTGTTTTGTAAATAAGTTCATTTGTCTGTTTTTTTAGATTCCACATATAAGTGATATTAAATGGTATTTTTCTTTTTCTTTCTGGCTTACTTCACTTAGAATGACGATCTCCAGGCCCATCTATGTTGCTGCAAATGACATTATTTTGTTCTTTTTATGGCTGAGTAGTATTCCATCACACACACACACCCCACCCCTTACAACTTCTTTATGCAATCATCCAATCATCTGTTCATGGACATTTAGGTTGTTTCCATGTTTTGGCTATTATAATAGTGCTGTTATGAACATTAGGGTGCATGTATCTTTTCAAATTAGAATTTCCTCCAGACATATGTGTGAGAGGACGACTGTTGGATCATACGGTAATTCTGTTTTAAGGGTTTGTTGAGGGGGGTGGTTATTTATCTATTTACATTAATGGAGGTCCTGGGGATTGAATCCAGGATCTTGTGTATGCCAAGCACACACTCTACCACTGAGCTATACCCTACCCCCAACTCTATGTTTAGTTTTTTATAGCATCTCCATACTGTTTTCCATAGTGGCTGCACCAAACTACATTCCCACCAGCAGTGCAGGAGGGTTTCCTTTTCTCCATGCCCTCTCTAGCATTTAGTGTTTGTGGACTAAAAAAAGTCTCACTGTTTATAACCATGGTAATTCATTGATTGAATGTCTTCTGCTCAGACATACCTCTAATTTGTAAACCTCTTGTAGTAGAACATAAGGTAAATGAAGCCTCTCCCCTTCATCTCTTAGCTTTGCCACTCGGCTTTCATAGTTCTGCAGCTCCACTGCATACACATCTGCTTTCTGAAGTGAGAGATGGTACACAAAAGTAAAACCCTTTAATAAATTAGATAAGTATATATATTCATTTAAAAAGAATTACACATTACAGAAAAGAATTGGGGACAAATGAAAGCCCCACTTCTCCTCCCTCCTCTCCAGCTCTCCCCAGAGATCTCAGTTGACAGTTTGTTCCTAACGCATTCCAATCATGTACAAATAGAGGTCTACACACACATCCTTAAACGCGCCAGACTGCACACATCATTGCTCTGCACTTTGCCTTCCTCAAGTATCAGCTCCTCATCAGCTCTTCAAATCAGTACAAACATATCTGGATCCTTTTAAACAGACACATAATATGCCACTGTACAGCTGCACACTACTTTAGAAACAGTCTGCTCTTCATGGACTTTTCAGCTACTTAGAATTTTCAATTCAAGCAGTGCTGCCAGATCCATCCTTGAATATTTATACACAGATTCATCTTTATGCACCTGTCTTATTTCTTAGGATAAGCACAAGCCCAGCACCTAGAGCAGTACCTGAACACAGCAGGTCCTCAATTAATACTTGTTGCATAAATGAATGAAGAAAAACCACTGCTGGATGCAACAGCATTCATGCTTAAAGTTTTGATAATGTAGGTCAAATGATTCCTAGAGGCTGGACTAGTCAGCCCTCCTACTAAGACGGTGAGGGTCTCATTCCCCAACACCCTTTTCAAAACTCCAGAAGCTTATATTCAGGGATGTGGTTCAGAAGCACAGCTTACACCCACAGCTCTCTGGTTCAAGGTTAAGTCAGTTTGAATTATCTTGACTTGATTACCTGAAGCTGCTCATCAATACTCTGGCCACTAATTTCATTCAAAGACTGTTGTAAAGATGTTTTATTCTTAATAAGTTGATCATATAATCGCTTTATTTCATTCTGTATAAAAAGATAAATGCAGAAAACAGTGAGGATCTCATTTAGGCCTTCAGTACCTTTTTAAAAATTTGCTTGTCCTTTAGTTTCTATGCTATCAGACATTTCAAACATGCCGAAGTAGATGAATCCCTGCATTACCACCATCCATCCAGGTTACCTCTAACAACTACTGACTTGTGGCTGGCTGTCTCTCCTCTCCTGCAGAGGAGGTCAAGAGGAGGCTTGCCTCTGATTATTTTGAAGCAAATCCCAGCTATCACATTATTTCATCAGTGTATGTTTCAGCATTCATCTTTAAAAGATAAAGATCCCTCTCTTTAAAAGTACTACAAATCAGTAATAATTTCTTAGTATTATTAACTGTCCAGGCAGGGTTCACGATTCTCTAATTGCCTATACTTTTTCTCTTTGGTTTGTCTGAATTGGGATCTAAATGAGGTCGTGATGGATTAACATGCGTCTTAAGTCTCTTATAATCTGCAGGCTCCCCACTCATCTCTCTTTTTTGTTTCTTCCATTTTTGTTGTTAAAGAGGCAGCAGTGGTGGGAAAAAAATGGGTCCTATATTCTGTACAACTTCCCACTGTCTGGATTGGTCTGGCTGCACTCCCACGGTGCTGCTTAACATGATCTTCTCTTGTGTCTATTTCCCTTGGATTCTAGAGGCTTCATCAGATTCAGGTTTGATTTTATGGGCAAGACTCCTTCCCAGGAGGTGTTGTGTTTCATTTCTTTTTCATTAGACAATTTTTAGTAGCTTCCTAACTAGTCCACCTGCCTCAATTCTCTGCTCCAATCCACATGAGCCATCTGCCAGATGGATCTATCAGAAATGTACACGGACTGTCATTCCTTTGCTCAAAAACCTTAATGGCTCCCTCTTACCTAGAAATCCTCCCAGATGACACCCTTTAAGTGGCTGAATGTAAACCAGGAAAAAAAATATTACTTTAGCTCAGCCTAACAAATTCAGACCCGAGACTCTGGAAAGGACCTGCTTTCAAACGGTCTCCAACCATGAGCAGCTGATCTAACCTAAGGACCTTCACAGAAACAATGTTTCACCGCTTTCCTTAGCAATACCCATTCGTGAATGCCGCCGAAAATAGGAATGAACAGAAGTTAGAGGTCCATGCTGTAACCTAAAGCAGTGCCAGAGTAGGAGGAGCGCCCAGACTCGTACCTGATAACTGCGGTTATAGTCGAGGCCAGCTTTCAGGGACTTGCTTTTAGAGGCAGCTGTAGCCTGAGTGTGCTCCAAGTAGACCTGGAGGTTATCAAAACAGTCAAGGAACAGGCTGGGGTTCTTGCCAGGCCAACTCATGGCTTTCAAAAGATCATGCTTCTTGTCATTCATAGCTAAGTAAAGTTTTTTCAACTCAAGAGCCAGTGTCTGCAAAGTGGGGAAGAACACAGTCAATGAGTTCTGACCTTAAGAGGCGTCAGCTCTGACTTAACACATGGGCTGCCTGTGGTAACTGCCAACACATGGGCTTGAAGGACGCTCCCTACCTCGTAGTGCACCTGCTGGGCACCGACATCCCCTCGGAAGAGCCCAGGTGTCTGCAGCATCTCCTCCATGCTGCCGAGGCACTGACGGAGAGTCAGAAATAGATCAAATAATTTTTTATCCAAATTTGTGTATGTTTCTTCTGACACGTTTTCCTAAATCAAGAGGATAAAAGGAAAAATAAAAATCACTAAGATTCCTTGCCTTCCTAAGCTGACATTTTCCCTGGTTTTCGTTACAGTTTACAATTTCTGTTATGATTGTTGTAATAATTTGTTGTTTCAAATACACTGTGAACTAGGTAGTATAATAAAGAAAATTAAGGTGTTAATGCTGAGAGAAACAAGTTAAAGAAACTCAGTGTTGGGTAGTGAGTTGGCTATTGAATGGAATTAAAAGGTAAATCAAAAGATGAAGGACTCCCTTAGTCGGGCCATCCAGGTGGAAGTGTGGTCCTGGACAAACCATACTATCCTCACTATTCCCTGCCTCCCACATTTTAACGTGGGAGAAAGTGGGTTAATGAAATCAACTATGGCCTGGAGAAGGAAAAGAAGTCAAGAAACTTGAAGGGGTCCATTAGAAAGGGGTGCAATATCTTAAAGATAGGGATGGTACAGCATGGTGACCATAAGTAATTTAGAAACCTGCGAAAGCTACTAATCACTCTAGTTTGGGCTGCTTCCTACCCTCCTCTCTGATGGATACCCAAGATTATCCACATGGTTTCAGTGTTAAGCCTATTCAACATTGGAAACTTTCCCACGACCCCCTCCCACCCTTGTAGTCCGAGAGTACCATAGCAGACAGTACTAATCAATCACGATCCTTGTTTCTGCTAATCCTGGATATAGGTCAGAAGCCCTTGCACGTGGTATTCTAGGCAACCACTCCCAAGAGTTTATCAGAGTTGGCAAGAGAGATAAATTCTATTTGCAATTCTAGGACTCATTCCATTATATGTCCTATTATTCGTTCAGCAGAGAAAATTAGGACCAATTTACAATATCACATTTCCCTTCATTTTTGTCATTAGAATGAGAATAATGTACAGCAGCTACCTGTGTCTGAAGATTATCTGCTTCTTGACGCAGGTCTTCAAGTTGGGTGGTGTAAGTTTTCAGTTCTTCAGTTGTTGGGTATCTAAAGTTATGCACACTTACACTGGGTAGAATACTCGTATTTGTGGCAACCTACTTGAAAAAGGGACACCCTATTACAAACAGTTTGAGATTCTACTGATGTTACTGTAAAACAGCAAAAATGTCTTAACATGCTACCTTCCGAGTTACTTTCTTGGTAAGTGTTTTTGTCTATCTTGTCATTTAACACTTGTCATTTATAAGAAAAAAATTAATTAAATTAAAATTAGGCTTTGAAAATCATGACAGGCTTTACTCAGACACTGGAGGGTCCACTTAGATAACAAAACGAGTGAAAACAAACTGTAATTTGAAAAATAAGAGTAAAATCACTAATCTTTTCATTTAGTAGTGATGCTATCCATGTTCTGAGGTTAGCTGTTTCTTTTCCCATTTACTGGTAGACTCCTGGCACGTAGCCAACTCTTAGAATAGAACAGAGTCACCTCCAGGGACAGATCCACATCTTGACTTGTTATTGAAAAGCTAAATAAGTATTGAAAATGAACTGTGACTTCAGAAGGGAGAATGATTCAGAGTTAATTTCCTTCCTAAATTGGAAAACATGTTAAAAGAAACAGGATGGGGTGGTAGAAGACTCTGCTGAGGTGGGAGGGTGGCAAACCAAGGATAGGTTTCTGTCCTTGGAAGAAGAATGACATCCAGGTTACAGTATGTATGTCAAGGAGAAACCAAGGCTAAAGCCCTACTAATGAATCTGATTCAACTTTAATTGGTCAAATAGGTTCTTGGCAGAATAGAAGAAAATTGAAAAGCTCCCACCAAATTGGGGATTGGGAAACCATCAATAACCTTTGCCTGAGAAGTCTGAGTGCAAAGCTGAAGGTAGAAGCCTGATTGCTGGTAGAAACGGTGCTAATCTGTGCATGGACTCCCTGTTTAGAGAGAAATCCAGCAGTAGCTGACACAGCATGAATAAAACCGTGTAATGGCATTGATAAGGTATGATAAAGTGTGCTGGTGAGGATACCTATTGACAGGTACCACTGGCACAGGGGCTGGTGGATTCCAAACAGTCTTTGGATGAATGATACTCATATAGCACTGTGTCATTTTTAAAGTGTTTTTTTTTAAACATATATTATCCATTCCTCTATTCACAGATATATAGTAACCAAGATTTTATGATGTTCCAGGTACTGTGCCAGGAGCTCAAATGTGAACCAAGCAGACCTGGTCTTTCTTCCCATGCCATCTAGTGCGAAATACAGACAAATAAACAGGCGCACGGCAGAGTAAGAGCTATTATCAGGGAAGCCCAGGGTGCAAGGGAAGCACAAAGGGGAGAATTTAATGCAGATTGACAGGAAGGTGGAAAGGAGACAGCCAGGTAAGAAAACCCACGTGGCACCTTTGCTTTCTGAAAATAAATTGCTACATAATACAGAACATACATGTGTGTTTAATGCATGCTTGCTGGACTTTTCAAAGATAAACACGCTTATCGACGCTGTGTGCACATACACACTGACCTGGGGCTGCACAAGCTGAGGGAGAGGGAGCCTTATTTTTGATGAGAGCTCGTGATGTAAATATTGCCACTTGTCTCCACTTTGGCCCTGAGGTGACAAGACCGAGTCTGCAGAATCATTTTCAGGGCTAGATGCCTTACTACTTTTAAGGGAAAACAAAAAGTGAAAAGAATAATCAACAAAAACGTTATTAATTCAGACGTTTTCTAAGTGACATTAAAAGAAACACTCTTAATTCTCCCAACCATAAAACTACTGAACGTTCAATTCTTTAAAAATATTTTACCTCATGGATGATGTCTCAGTTGTCTCTTTATTGTGTTGGCAATACTGGGGCCACATTTTGTGAGCACTGGATTCTATGAATTTGATGAAATCTTTCTGTTCCATTGGGTTTAACTCCAGAATCTATAATTGAGAAAGATTCAAATGGTCCCATCAATCAAGGTTTTCGATTAGTACCCAAGGGTTTCTTCTGTTGAGATCATCTGATTCGGAACCACTTCCTAAATCATCATTTACTATTTCTTTTTCTTGCTTGATTGTTCTTGTTAACTTTTATTTTTCAAAAACCTATTAAAAATATTCACACAATGACCAAGTATCGTTTAATATACACGACTTACATGGAAACTCACCAGAAGATACTAACACAGCTTACAACAATAAGGAAAGCAGTGCTGCAGTTATAAAGGTAAGCTCATCCTGCAGATGTCTGCTTGCTTGGATATAAGATAAGAGTTAGGGAAGTTCAAGTGTCCCCAGCTGTAGCAGATAAAAGCCCCACAGGTCCTGCAGTGAAGGCTCAAAACTCAGAGCTACTGCACACCCAGGAACACCCACACATCATGCTTCCTCTTAAGAAAACACTCCAATGGCAGCTCAGTATTTAGTTCAATGGGAAATCCCATATAGAAAGCTTTACTCTTATTCTTGTAACTGTTCAGGGCTGAAATTACCTGTTGCTGCTGGAAATCTTTTTGTCTGCTGAATGGTGGCCTTTCGGTTACAACAGATTCAAATTCAGAAAGGTTATCTGCTTGGAGAACTTTCTGATGCTCTGAAGGTTTCTTTAGAATGGCAGAATGCTGCAAAACATTTTATGATGGCCAACTATTTAAAATGGTAGCCCACTTGATTTCGATTCGAATAATGAGACTCCATAATGGAGAAGCTTTATATGAAGTAGATGACTGGATTTTGTTAATTATGATAACTAAATACTATGATTTAACATACTTGTTTCATAACAACTTCAAAAGCCACTACATCTGATGAATTAGTCATCTTATCATTTCCTCAATTTAATTCACCCAGTGAATTACTAAAAGAGGAAAATCTATTGCCTTTTTTCCTTGAGAATAAAGTGAAAAAATACCAAAAACAGACACAATATTATGCTTATGAACTCAAATTTCCCCCATGTCTAAAACGTAAGTAGATTTTTTGAAAGAGAGAGAACATATTAGTTTAATAAAAGGAGATCCACACAGCTGGTGTATGTGGAGCCAATCTTCTTTCTGTGACTGTAAGTCCTGTAAGTGGAAACCACCATCTCATAAGTACAGATGCAAACCTTACATAGTAAAATCCCACTCATTAGATGCACATTTGCATATATATATGTATGTATACACACATACAGAATGCTTTTAAAAGTTACAAGAACACTTTTAACTATAAGATACTTCAATCAATATATATAAATATTTGTAAATGAATAACAAAATCACCCTGGAAACGGGTCTTTGTATTTCTGATGTCAAATTTTAATCTTATCTATAAAGGCTTCATTTTCCAGTCAACTGGAGTAACACAATTCCTTTAAAATACATCCTTCTTGTATAAAGAAGGCTTGCTTACCCCAGAACTCATCATCAGCAAGAACAACCAACCCAATTCAACCAACACCTTCCCTAACAACAACCTAGGTGGGAAAACTGCGCAGCAAAATGAAAACAGTGACAAAACCCAGCACAACCATCCCTTACAGTTTTAAGAGGCATAATTCTATAGTTGTTTCCTGACCTTCACCCAGAGTTCCCTCCTGATGGGTCTACTGTATGTGTACACGTACATACATGTCTACACACAGCCGTATTTTACCTGGTCCTCACTGTATTTCTCCTGAAGCATCATCTGGACTTTTTCTAAATTGCACTTCACAGTTTTTAGTTTCAAGGAAAGTGCTTCTGCCTCCTGTTGAGTGGCTCCACTATCTCCCAGGCCCTGGTCTTTGCAATTCTCTAACAGAGAGGCAACCTTGTGTTCAATCTCTGTTAGCATAGCCTAGGAAATAAAATCATTCAATTATACATAGTTCTGGACTTAAACAAGTGTTACACCCCAACATAAGTTAGATTCACTCTCTCTACCTAAGTGTATATAAGAAGTCTCAGAAACACAGGTTGGAAGGGATCTTGAGGGGAAAAAAAAACTACCACATAATTCCTCTGCTTTTTAACAACCAAACCAATCCCAAATTAAAGATACCACTCTCTAATCTAAAACAAGTGATTCTATATTCACTTTAGAAAACACAGCTGAATGTACCCAGTATAGCATAGTGGTTAAGAACACAGACGCTGGAACTAGACCACCTGGGTTCAGACCCCAGCCCTCCCACTTAGTAGTGGGGAAAATTGAGGCACTTTACACGTTGTATGAATCTGTTGTCATAGATTCACACACATATGACTTCTAGTCATCTGTAAAATGGGGATAATAATAGAACTTACCTCCTGGGGTCACTTTGAGGAGCTACAGTTAAATCCACGTACTTTGACCAGGGCTTGATACACAGTCTAGGTCAACTACCATTATTTTTCCCCCCACCTTCCTGGACTTTTTCTGTTTGAATCCAAGTGTTGAGCAGTAATTTTAAAAGATCTCCATAGAACTCTTTGAAAATTCTTTCCCTGGCTCTTTTCCTTGTTTTTCTCAGGACAAATAAGCTTCCAAAATATCAGAAGACCACAGAAGACATAATTTGTAACCTAAAACACTTAGTCATTGATACAACTGGCCAACTTACACCCAGGTCTAAAAATAAATCAGGAGGATGAAGTAAGTTTCCCAGTAAGTCACCGTCGTTGTAATCCTCCTCAACAGGTCAAGTTCTGTCCTCTCCCAGGGCTGTGGAGCCCCGAGGGTCATGCCAACTGGCTGGGCACACAAAAGTAGCTGCAGCATTCAGACTCACATTCCAGCACTGTGATGGCTGTGCTAACATCCTGTGTGACTAAGAACAAGTCCAATGCTTTGACAGAAACTTCAGGAAAAACTCTATTCTTGAAACATTTTCAAATGACATCCTTCTAACTTCTCCATCCAAGCAAACTACTTGTATCCTCTATATACAGACTCTTCTAAGCTTAAACAATACGAGCTCATAGATTTTAGAGCGGCTATAAACAAGGCGTACTGTGATTCTGTGCTTTTTCTCCACTTAGCTGTTTTCTGTATACTTTTTCATGTGTTTCATATCTACGCTTTACAATTCCCATTTTAATAGCTGCAAGTTAACACTCCATGGTTCTCTTAACCTCCCTATTGTTAAGCCTTTAAACTGTTTCCAGTTTTTCACTTTTGTACTCAATGCTGCCTTAAATACTTTTCCCCTTCTTGGGTTATTTTCAGAGGTTAAATTTAAAGTAATGGGATAACTAGGTCAAAGCAGATGGACATTTTATCTGATGACAGCTGACTTCTGAAAACTTCAATCAGACAGACATTAGTGGATCAATTTCTCCAGAGTTTTCTTGGATGACATAATTTTGTCAAGGTAATGTAGGAACAAAACAACAGCTGTTTTAATTTGCATGTCTTCAGTAATCAAGGCTGAGCATTTTTTCTCAAATATTAAACTACTGAATACAATTTTTTCTTGCTTGATCTGTTTGCTCCTTTCAAATCTGAACATTTTTCCTCTGGGAATTTAGCATTTTTACAGACCACTGTAAGGCTTTTTACGTTTCAATATTAAACTATATGTGCCATGGTGTTTTATAAATGAGCCAAGGATGGCCCCTATGTATGGACCCCCTATATTGTTTATTTCCTCACTATAGGTGGGACCATTAGCTCATATTTCACTGGTGCCAGACTCAAAACTAGATCCCCATATCTGCTAACCCTGGTTAAGACAAACGGTGTTGCTCTGAAGTCCTCAGCCTCTACTGTCCTTCAGAGTTCTCTGACATCTCCTAGACACACAAGCCTCTTGGGATTCCCTATCCCCTGGAAGTCCCCTCCTCTCTTCCCCTTCTGGGTGGTGGCCCACCCCTCTCCCTTGCCAAAGCCTCTGGAAGGTGCCCTGCCATGAGGGACACCCAGTCCCTTCTGATTATGCCAAAACTCTGCCCAAATAAAGCTCATTACCCGCTACTGCCACCTTGTGGTCATGTCTTTTCCTTGAGCAGCCCCCCAAATCCTTGAGCTCACTACAAGTGGCCGAGGATGGGATTCTGGTGACGATCAAGGAATTGGCCATGGAGTCTATCTAACTAGTCAGCAGGACAGTCAACTGGCAAATGGCTCCTGGACAGCCTTAAATGGCTGGGTTTCAACACTGGAACGCAGCAGTGTCAGGGTAGAGCAGCATTGCTCTGTGTGGAATTACACTGTCTTTTCCAGACTCCCCTGCACCTCCTCAGCCAGGCCACGTGGCAGTGCCAGTACTGGCGTGAACCCACCCCTTGGGGCTGACTTTTGGGGTGAGAGGTGCTGAGCTGTCCAGCGAAGGAGGTCAGCCTGCTTGCCTGGGTTCCACTAGGCAGGACTGGGTGTTGGAAGATTGTGGGTCTGAACAGAAAAAGGGGAGGAGTGCCAGGCTCAGGCCAAAGTGTCTTCCCCAACCCCAGAACGAGCTCTAGTGGGTGGAGCTCCCTGTGGCTCTGGCCAGTGATTTGGGGGTACTCGCAGAGGAAGTCCCTGTCCCTGGGGACCACTGCAAACGAGCCAATCAGGCAGACATCAGGCCAAGGCAAGTCTAAGGGGCCTTAGGAGTGGCGCCTTGGCTGTTGTGACACTGGATTATGCTGCTGCAAGGTCAGCAGTCTGGCCCCTCCCTGGAGGGATACAGAGATCCCAACCTGTGGGCTATGCCAGCAACTGTTACTCAGAGTGACTAAAGGCAAGGAAGTTGACATTCCTGTCCCTCCCAAGCAGAGTAGGGGCATTCCTAGTAAAATGACAGCACAGCCCTTTTACGCTGTATCTGCAATCTTGCAAATCAAGGTATTCAGTTTCATTCCTGATGAATGAAAATTCAAAGAACTTAATATCCTGAATAAAGTAGCAGTATTTATTGAGCACTTTATATATACTTTATACACCAGACACTGACTTATATACTTTATCTCATTTAAATCTTGATCAAGTCTCAGGAGAGAACCTACTGTATGAGGAAAATGAGGTGAGTTTACTCACTCCAGTTCAGTTAATGGGACAGAGCTGGACTGGAGCTCCAGATTCTGAGATCTTACCCATTACTATCTTCCCAAATACTCTGTTCACATAAATCACTTCAAAGAATTATCCTGAGAACAAGAATTTGAGGCCGCAGGGGTCAGAGTAACAGGGAGAATCACACTGTTGCTTTAAGAGAAATTCACCCCGTCTTAGAAGGTGATTGGTGAAGAGGCCATGAACTCAGCCCCGGCCGCCTTACCTGGCACCCTACCAGTTGCTGTTCCACCACCTGCTGCATGTCTGCGTTTAATGTTTCCGGCTCGAATGCCACGTTGGCCTGGTGCAGCCACAGCTCCAGCTTGGCCACCTGGGTCTTGCAGACATGGAGGACTTCCGCCGGCTCGGGACTAGGTTTCTCCACTGTGGCCTCAAAAGCTCCTTGCTCGTCAGAAAAGCCCGCAGCTTCAGCCTCAACAGGAGGTGTGGCACCCTATGATAAATCCAAAGATAATCCAGCGGTGAAAAGCCAGGAGTTCTAAATGTTTAGATTTGGACTGGCAAAGATCTGTGAACTTATAGCAATTCCCCAGTTAAAAGAAACAAATATATATATGGGCAGAAGAGGTAAGAAAGAAAGAAGAGAAAAATGCACCTCCATGGGCACAGCAATGATCACGTGACCTGGCGCCCCGGGTTTCCAAGCAGCAGATCTGCATGTACACAGGTACAGGGTTCCTGGGCGCAGAGGACGCAAACGTGCTCGTCGTTCATTAAACGGCCCCAGGAGACAGGTGAGTACGAGCGAGAGGGTGTGCGTGTGGGTGTGTGTCTGAAACAGTTCAGCGAACTGGCTGCTGTTTAAAGTTGCGTGACACATGATTAAGCAATGCTTACATTGCTGTGTGCTCTGTTCAAACAGGAAAAAAAAGATCTTTACACATTGGATGGACTATAAGGAAATATGCCTCATACTTTTAACTTAACATCTCAAGTAGTTAGATTATCAAATATTTTGGCTTTCTTTCCCCCGATATACATGCTATTACTTATCTCAACTTCTCCCTACTAAAAATAGCTTGAGTTACAAGCTTCAGGGGAGTAATTTGGAAACTTTTCTCCTATTCTTCAGAGACAATCTCTAAAAATACTTTTAACCTTCTAGATACTCAAATATTATTGAGTTAAGGACTAGATGCTTATAGTACATAGTAAAAAGAAAATATGATGTGTGCCATGTGTACTTTTTTTTTTAACTTAAGTATAGTCAGTTTCTGGTGTACAGCACAATCTCCCAGTCATGCATATACATACATATATTCGTTTTCGTGTTCTTTTTCACTAAAGGCCATTAAAATATATTGAATACAGTTCCTTGTGCTATACAGAAGATATTTTTAAAATCTATTTTTATAGTGGCTAAAATTTGAAAATCTCAAACTCCCAAATTTATCCCTTTCCATCCTCTTTGCCCCCGTAACCATAAGATTGTTTACTACGTCTGCAATCTGTTTTGTAGATGAGTTCTTAGAAAACCCTAAAAACTCTGCACAAAAACTACTAGAGCTGATAAAAGAATTTGGCAAGTTAGCAGGATACCAGATTAACATACAGAAATCAGTTGCATTTCTTCACATTAACAATGACATAGCAGGAAAAGAGAGTAAACAATTCCTTTTAAAATGGCATCCAAAACAATACTTAGGAATAAACCGAACCAAGGAGGTGAAAGACTTATACATGGAGAACTACAAAACACTGATTAAGGAAACTAAAGATGACTTAAAGAAATGGAAAGATATTCCATGCCCTTGGATTGGAAGAATCAATATTGTTAAAATGGCCATACTGCCCAAGGCAACCTACAGATTTAATGCAATCCCTATCAAATTACCCAGGTAACTTCCAGGACAATTTTCACAGAACTAGAACAAATAATCCTAAAATTAATATGGAATCACAAAAGACCCAGAATTGCCAAAAGAATATCGAAAAAAAGAACAAAGCTGGAGGAATAACCCTCAGACTTCAGACAATACTAAAGAGCTACAGTAATCAAAACAGCATGGTATTGGCATAAAAACAAACATATGGATCAATGGAACAGAATAAAGAGCCCAGAAATAAACCCACAGACCTATAGTCAATTAATTTTTGACAAAGGAGGCAAGAATATACAATGATGTGTACTTTTTATATTGAAACAACTGGGTTTGCTTATCCGTCCAGTAGAAAAATTTCTCCCAGATACCAAGTGAAAACTATTCAAGTAAATATACAATAGATATTTTCAGTTTGCAGGCAAAAGATGAATTGATGCAGAGATATTTTTGCTTCCCACATCCTTTTCCAGAATGGTTAGAGTATTTTCAACCCTTCTAGAGGCATTTCTTTAGGAGTAAGGATTTGTGTTTTGCTCTACAAAATCACTGATCTCAATATATATTTTACTCACTCTGACTATGATGAAATACAGTGTTTTCCATATAAGACTTCGCTATCTACATGTTAGCATCTAATAAGGCACAATTTTGGCCAAGTGAGAAATGGGAGTTGCTCACAAATATATACCCTAACTCAACTCAAAGTCACATTTCCTAACGTTTGTGAAATTTGGTTTAAACATAGAACTTTGCATACAAGAGAAGCCAACAAAATTGGCAAATGGTAACAAAGACATGCAGGGTATGAAAATACCAGCCATTTTCACATACACTGATGAGGACTGGGAAAGCTCATTTGGCAGAAGGGTCTCTGAGTTGCACTCGTTCCGTACTTGTTCCCCTGACCTTCTATTAACTTCACATATGTTTGCTCTTTTCTGCCAAAACGCTGTTTCTCCCCACCTTCATCAGTATCTTCTTCAAGAAATCACCTTCCTAAGGGTCTTTCTTTGCCTTGTGTTCTCTGTTCATACACAGTTAGGTCTCTACTTAGATTTCACCTGTTTCAATTTTCTTTTTTAATCCTGATCTTTAGAAATGGAACAGATATGTGATTTTATTGCCAGGCACCAATTTCTGATCATCTGAGTAACTGTTTTCTAGTTTTCAGATACTGCTATATCTTAGTGGCAAAGATCTGGGGATCCGTTTTGGTCACCTGAGATAACAATCTGTTAATACCGATTCATTCATTAGCTAATTAATCTGCAAAAACCTTATTTATTCTGCCTTTCTTATTTATTCAAAAACATTCTTTGAGCATCTATCTCCAACACACATTTAAAAAATGACAATACTGAGTTTCTTTCTCATTAACTCACTCAATTAATGAGGAAATAAGGAAGCTGGATAACTAATCTCATTTTTATTTGTTAGTTATTCAAGCCTGAAAAGAATCCAAAGGTGACTGAAGAAAAAAAGATTATTTGTAACCGTAGAACTTCAATAGCTGAAGGTGACCTGGGGAACGTGCCAGGAATCAGTTCACTCACTTCTTCTTATAGTAAGAGAAACCCAAGTATATTTAACATTTAATCAGTTCACACACCTCCCATCCCACTGCTTCTGAGCTCAGGCCCAGACATAAATTAGTTCCCCAAGGTCACACAGCTCTGTGACCTTGTAATTCTGAGTCCATACTTTTTTCCACAGTAGCACCCCTGCTCAATATCTTCTCCAAATGATAACCCCAAATTCTAAAAGCAGAAATTATTTAAATGAAAGTTTTATGATTGTACATTTTGGAGAGCTAAAAAAGTGTGACCACTAGTATTTCCTGTTAAAGACAAGCATGTCATCTGTAAAGCATTAATGTAAATTGATAATACCCAACCTTTTATCAGGCCCTAGAGCTGGGCCACTGTGCTAAGACCATCTCATATTTCACACAAGTCCATTGTTCCTGTGTACAGAGGAAGAAACTGAGGCTGAAAGAGGTTATTCAAACTGCCTATGGCCACAAAGTAAAACCAGGATTCAACCTCTGATTTCATTACGCCTTAGCATTTACAAGTCCACATTCTTGACATAATTTTGTCAACCTTCTGGAATCCAAGTTAGCCTCATAGTTAGCGAATGTCAGTACTGCTTGATTTCTGCGTAACACATCGCTGATCTAAGTTACAAGATCCAGTTAAAATGCAGATGAATTTTCTGGCTGTGGCTGTATTTCATGCCAAGATACCAACCCTTTATAAACAATTTACCACCAATGCTACAAACATCTGCACACCCTGCTCCTCCTTTTGATAAAATGCAAAACTGCCTGACTAAAGTATCCTATCTAATTGCACTGGTACAAATACTAAATATGCCGCTGGGATGGTATGGTGGTGGCTTACTGTGTGATGCCAAAACTACCTTGGTTTCACACCTTTAAATACTAAATATCCAAATTAGGGAGGCACATTGGAATAGTCTGGCTTTGTCTCCTTACTCCTCTACTTACCGATTGTACTTTTCCTCCCTGAGTTTTGATTTCCTCATTTGTAAACGTATGTCAGGCATTAACCTACCTTATTTAATCTGAGGATTAGATAGCAAATACAAATGCCTTTTATATAATGGGCAGTTAATCAGTAATAGCTCTCCTCCACTTTCATCACGCCCGTAAGTTATATCCACGGAAGAAGGAAGTAGGTGTTATTGAAAAGGCTGGTTCACCCTGACAAGTGGTGAGCGAGTGAAAAAAATCTTGAATTGCTCTGTGCCGTGCTGACTCTCGATGTAAATATCTGATGGCAAATCTCCCAGTTTCCCAGCCTGGCAGCACATATGAAGATGTCAAAGTTCACAAAGAATTCTTGGTTTGCAATAGAAAATATTGCAAAACACAGAGAGCTGGTCATCTCAGGGGCTAGTCTGGGTATCACTGACAGGGACTTACCTCTTCTGTTGGGTTGGGGCTCAGGAAAAATTCGGGGCCCTGCTCAGTGTTTGGTGAGTCTGGTGCAAGAATCTGTGCCATGGAACTATCACATATGCTTATTTTTCCAGCTGCCTCCTGTAAAAAAAAGAACAAGGGGTCCAGAAAAGTTCCTGCCCTGCTGCCACACAAGTCAGTCTTCCTGCATCTGCTCATTTTATAAATCATCTGCTTGCAAAAATGTCCAGAGAAGTCAGGTGTATTTAGGAAAAAGTTTGTTCATTAGGGAAAAAAAATCCACTTACTCACATTTGTCTTCATTTGTAGACTGAAAGGCTCTAAGGCTCTGTAGTTAATGAGGAACATACAAGGAATCTAGAGAATTATGTATTTAAATGGATTATTATGAGAATTAAAATTAAATAAGATTATATGATAAAGGTCACATTCCCAATAAATGGGAGGAAAGATGAATTTTTAAACTTTGGGAACAACTATCCAGGCATTTCATGAAAAATATAACTAAATCCTTGTTTCACTACTAACAGTGAATTCTAATTATATCTAATATTTAGATGCAAAAGTTACAACATAAAAATTCTTGAAAAAAATATGAGTGAATCTACTTCTAATCTAGGAGTGGGGAGGGACTTTTAAAGCATGACAATAAAGGAAAAAATGTTAGTATTAACAATGTAAATAAAATAACACGCACCACAAAAGACACCACAATCTAAGCTAAAAAAGAAATAGACTGGGATGACATCTTGCAAAGTGTTAATATCCTTAATATATTAAGCATTCTTATAAGTCAGTAACCCCTCTGTAGAAAAAGTCAAATGGCATGAACAAGTAATTCATTAAAGAAGAATACAAAAGCCAATAAACACCTAAAGAGATATTCTACATTCTTATGTATGTAAGACAATTTAAGCCACTGGCTAGGTTTGGCTGAGATTGAAAATATTCAGTATCAGCTTGGAATCAGGAAAGAGGCACTTTCATGCATTCCTGGTAGGAATGCCAGGAATCCTTCTTGAGGACAGTTTGAGGGCAGTTTTTAAATGAATGTATACTTTTTTTGGAGGGGCAGGTAATTAGGTTTATTTATTTATTTGTTTATTTGTTTTTAATGGAGGTGCTGGGGATTGAACCCAGGACCTTGTGCTTGCTAAGTACACACTTTACCACTGAGCTATATCCTCCCCCCTGGATGTACACTTTGATCCAGCACTCTCAAATATTAGCTTAATCAAGGTTGAACAATGGGAAAATGAAATGTACACAAATAATTAACACAGTACAGTAGGAAAAGTTTGGATGTCACAATGGACCAATCTTGGTTGCACTATTTACAAGCTGCGAGATCTTGGACAAGTTAACCTGGACTCTCAGAGCCTCACTTACTTCATCTTTAAAGTGGGAATATAACCCACCTCACTCATTCCTATGATTATTAAACAAGAAAACATATACAAAGCATCTCATAGTTCCTAACAAAACGTTACTTTTTATTGTCCTGAAAATAGTAACTGCTACTAGAAAGGTATAAACCAAGAACCAAAGGTGAAGCTTACATAAACTGGACAGGTAGGTTGGGATCATGAAAAGTCTGGAATGCCAGGCTAAGAAGATAGCATTTTATTCAGTGGATAATCAGAATCCAGGAAAGACTGGAGCTTAGCATGAATTGTTTCAGGAAAAGCAATCAGTTAATACTGTATAGAGATATAAATGACTGGAGGTTATGAACACACTTAGAAGGCTACTCCCAAAGTCTAGGGAAGATGTTAACAAATTGCCTGGAACAGGATGATGACAAAAACAATGGGAGGAGAAGAAGGATCTGACGATTGACATCACTTGACCACTGATTGGCCATGAAAGGTAAGACAAATGAGGTACCTAAGATGACTCTGAAGTTTGTCTTAGACTGAGAATTAGTGATGCCATTAACAGACACTGAGAGATTAGAGGAAAAGCAAGCTTTGAAGGAAAATTGGGTTTGAGATGAAGAGAATACATCCAAAAAGAAAAAATATGTATATCTGGAGGGTAGAAATACAGAACAGACTAATGGGAAAGACAAGACTTGAGATTTGATTTGGAATCCCTGGCAAAGAGGTTACTGCCAAACCTATGAGAGGACCAGGGAGAAATCACCACAAGAGAACGTAGAGAAGAAAGAAGAGGACAAAACTCTGGCGGAATGCCTACTGTCACAGAAACAGGGCAAGAGAAGGAGACAGAAGAGGGGCTGCAGGTAGATGAAACAAGAAAGTGTAGAATTGGGAAAGCCAAAGGAACATTGCATTTCAAGAAGGAAGAGGTGGTTAGTGCTGGAGGGATCAAGAAAGGTTAGGACTAATAAAAGGGCACTAAATTGACACCCAGAAGTCAAGGGCAGTTTAAGTATAGTCATGGGCAAAATCCTGGTTACAAAGGGGGCCAAAAAAGAGGAGCGCCAAGTAAAGATATGTAGCTATAAATCAAAGAGGAAGCACCATGTAATTATCCTGGAAGCAGGATCAAGAAAGTCAGTGCATTAACGTAGCATACTGAGCCCAGGACAGGACATCAAAACGTAGAAGATAAAGATGCCCAGCATTACCTGAACAATGGTTCCAGAGGACGAGGATGCTCTATCTTCCTCCATGTCCTTGTCATGTTTCCAGAGAAAAGATGGAGACCCAGAAGATGGTTCTGCTTTCTCACCTCCACTCTAACACAGCAATCAACTGATTAGCAAAGGGAAGTGATTTCCTACCATCCTTCTCACCTCCTATGTAAGACTCAATTTACCAGGTGGCAGAATGGTAGCCCTTAATCCCACCCCTCCCCCTGTCTGTCATCGATTTCTCTGGCTAACTACATCATAGGAGTCCAAAAGTGGTTGCTATTCCTAAAGCCCCCCAAATAGTCTTAAAAGTTAGGGGTCAGCTCATGTCACACGAAGGGGAGCTTTCAAACAGTGCTTTAGGAATATGATCTGCTTTGGTAAATGTCACCTTAAAGGTTATGAACATGTATTTTTTGATTGTAGTCAAAGACAACAACCCATGTGATAAACATATCAGCTCAGAGGCAAAAACGGGTCTCAGACTCGTACTGAAACGCAGCCCTTTTTTTTGGCCCCGGTACCTCCTCCATTCTCACAATTCTCTCCACCATGAAGGGGCATAATCAGATTACACAGCTGTCTGGTGGTCAGAGTCTAGAGTACACCTCACTCCTCCTCGTCCTACAGCTCAGCCCCGCGGTGTCCTAGTGATGACTAAAGGACAACAGGCTGTTCTTTGTGACGCAGGGCTACAGAGCAGTCCACAGAACGAGCCGAGAGAACGCCTGGTGGTTATGTGTGAGACGTAAAAACTGGAAACCGCCGCTGTCTCCTTCCTTGTGGCACATGACCCGTTGTAACTTTAGTTTTTAAAGTGTGAAGTGGAAATTGATATCAGAAAAGACAGCTGGTAATAAAGGTCTCATTCAGCCAGCTCTGAGGGAGAAGTAAGGACAAGGAGTAGGGGTAGCTGCTAACACAATTCTTCGTGTCCTTGGCAATGCTGTCTTAGACTAAAAAAGTACTTGAAGCATGGAAAAAGAAAGTTTATAAAGCACACCTGGAGTGCCAAGCAAACGACAGACTTTCAAAACTCCCGAGAAAGTACTCAGAACTCAGGATACGACAAAGAACTTCATCTCCTGCCTTACATCAACAAGTGTGTCTGAATTACATTTAGCCCACTCTGGCCTGAAGTAGGTTTTGATGCACTTAAACCACCTTAATAACGTAAGACAACTACTTCAATCACCCTTATAAAATACCCACATTAAATTTTTTAAAATCCTCATGTTTCCATTCATTTGAAGATCTTCTCATTGACCTTTTGGAGATTTCGGTTCTAACGAACTTGAACAAGAAAATCATGTTCCTTACTTCACTCTTCAGGGAGCTCTCTTCTGCTTCTTCCTCCACTGCCGGCAGGAAGGACATGGAGCCTTTTCTGTTCAGCTGAAAGGCACAGCACAAAGACTTGCAGCCAGATGGCTGATCACCACTGCCAGGATCCCGGCCTGGCCGCGTTATTATGTAGCTCATTTTTTTTACATTCTTGACCCAAAATGTCCTCCCACACAAGTAGCCTCTGTGTCCAGCAACTTTCAGCTCATCCAGCCGAATATCACAACTCGGTCAAACCTGAGATCCCTTTCACATGTGCTGCTCTCTGTGCCCTCTTATCAAACAATTCAAGAATGTGATTCCTTGATGTGGATTCAGAGCGGGCTTAGGGAGGTCGGGGCCCACTTCTGAGTTTGCAGTGGGCTGACTGTTTAGTAGGAAGAGACTTCAAAGGGCGGCTGCCACCCACCTACCCATGGGATTTCACAAGCAGCTTTTTAAGTAACTTGGGCAGAAGAATTCTGGGTTGAGTCCAGAACAGACATGCCCTGAGGATTAATACTCACTAGTGAATAATTTCAGCCGAAGTATTTCCACTTTTAAAAATTCCTTTACCATAGGCCATAGACATAGAGGCCACAGGTTTTCCAGGTGAAAAATACTACCAATTTAAAGCCCGTGTGGAATGTGGGACCAGCATTAACCTGAAGCCACACCCACCTTCCACTCAGGAGCCTCCCTCTCAGCTGTGCCGTCCTCCTCCGGTGCTCCGGCTGCCAGCATCTCTGTTTCTGATTCCTGTTGTTCTTGCTGTAAGTGCTGGTGAAGGTTCAGTATGGCTGCCTTCAAGTCTACCAACAGGTCTTCTTTTTTCTGGTTCAAGCTCAGAATCTGCTTTTCCATATCTTCGATTTCTCCCTGTGCAGAAAAAGTGTGCATTGCTTTGGGATGTCCGTGACCTCTGCCACAGGAGCCGGCTTCATTTGGTACCAGGGATGAAGATTTTTCTATGCTGTGTGGTCTGCACAGCCAGGAGTTAGTCTCTCCATCCTGGCTGGGAAGGGTTTGTAAGCTCCCTTACAGGATGCCTCAGCCTCACCTGATACCTTGTCGAGCAATCTCTAGGGGGTCAAGTGGTGACTCAGAAATTTGTAACAAGCTCCATGGGTGACTGTGGTGTGTAGCCAGGGTTGGAGCCACCGCTCCAGGGGCCACAGGACTGACCAAATAGAATCCACAGGGTCAGGGGTCAGGAATCTGCCCTCTAACAAGCTCCCAGGAGACTCGTATCCAGACTAATATTCAGGAAATAGCTGAGAGAAAACGAGGCTAGAAATCTCACACTTTTATTATCACTTTGGAAGCCTTCCTTAGTATTACTGAATTCATTTACTTTTTTCTCACAAAGCTTCCTATCCAATGGGAATAAATAAACAAATAAAGGTACTGTGAGGTGTAACTTGTTATAGGAATATGGACAGATGAGTCCATATTCCCACAGCTTTATAACTTCCCATAGCTTTATAACATGACTTTAAAAATTGACACATGGGAATAAAATTTCTTATACACGGTAGAAGCGTACTTGCCCACCATCTGTCTAAGGGGACTGCAGAATTCCAGAATCCTAGATCTGGAGGAAATAGTGGGTGTTGTCTTGTCTGACATCCTCCTCTCTACAACCTTGAAAGGCATCATTCAAAGCCTAAACGTTGCTATGTTTCATCAGAAGACAATCTGCTCTTTTTTAGCAAACCTTTGTATATTGGAATTTTGTCCCTAATATATTTCTTAAGTCCCCTATTTATTCATTCATTCCTTTCTTCCTTATTTCTTTCTTGCCATCCATCCTTCCATCCTATAAATATTCATAGGATCATTATTTTTTCTTCTACAGACAGAGAAACTCATCATGTTTCCACCTGTAAGTGAGAGTTCTGAAGTCCAGAGAAAGAAGGTGATTTTTCCAGGGCTGCAGTGGTGACAGAGCACACACCTGGACTTCTAACACCCAGTCCCCATGGCTCCTCGGCTACTGCCCATGTCCTGACACCAATATCCCCATTCTGTCTGAAGTTAAACTTCTTGTGATTGTTTTGGGAAATGATAACTTAAGTAAATCTGAATTGGCTTTGGTGTATTTCCCTTTGCAGTAAACACTCAACTTCAGAGGTACAGTGTCTCCCAACAGATGTAATACTACAGCCATTAGAATAACACTTAGAGACACAGACTAGCCTGCAGAGCCAGCAGCATTATGGTGGCAGAGAAGGGCTCACTCCATGAGGTCAAGATCATTTTCATAATACTCAAGTGTTACCCGCCTTTCTCACTGTGTTGACATTTTTCACTGTGTGAGGTCGCAAAAGCAATGGTGGGTAAAACTCCTGACACCTTATATGAATCAAAACAGGGATACCAACTGTATTAGTAGTGACTAGACGCTTCACTTAAGAATATCCTTGATAAAGCACATGTATTTTTTATATTCTGTATGACAACATGGGAAGCATGTATAAAGCACTTCTGCAGTTTACCGAAGTATGATGGTTGAGGAAGAGCTCTCATATAATTAAGTTTCAAGCCAACTTATTCTTTTCTTTTTCATAGAACACTATTTCTACTTGAAAAAAGACAGCTGTTAAACTATACATACATACATATACACACATATATAATGATTTTTTTGAAGAGGTAGATGTTAATATTAATACATTTATAAATATTAGTAAAATTTAATATTGGCTACTGAAATGTGTCACCATTTGGAGGATATACATAGCTAGTCAAACAATATTTTCCAAATGATCAAGCATGATGTTATACAATCACGCATGGCTGGAGATCCATTCCAAGTACAAGACAGACCGAGGGATTTTAACGTAAGAGTATGAAAAGTTCACTAACATGGCTTCAGATTCCATTTAACAATGAACCTGTGAGTAATACCTACTGGCTGGAGTGTAGTGTAGTTTCAAAGGATGTCCATAATTATTTAAAAGGGTTATTAAAGTAATCCGCCCTATCCTTGCATGTATCTTTGAGAGGTTGGATTATCTTTATATACTTCAAACAGAACTACGTATCTCAATAGCCTGAACGCAGAAGCACATGAGAATCTCTCCTAGTAGCCAGACAGACTAATGAGATTTGCAAAAACAAAAAGCAATGTCACTCTTCCCACTACATTTTGTTTGGGAAGATATAATTTCTTGCACCAAAATGTTCTTGCTATTAATATGTAATGGGTTTACTCTTGTCATTTTAAAATAAACTCAACAAATATATTTACATTTCTGAGTTTTAATATAAACAAAAGCTTTTCGGAGTCCTGGAATTTTTTAACGTAAAGGGAAACTTGACACTTTCAAAATACTGAAATATTTAATATATTGAGTCTGTCTTATTGAGTCCACCACTTGATAGCTGTGTCATCTTGGACCCCTTTGTACTTCACCTTAGACGCTGAGAAATTTGCCCTACATCTCACAGCTAGAAAGTGGTGTAACCTGGCTTTGAGTACCATAGCAATCGCTGGCCTACATCCACTAAATGGCAGGAAAAAAAGCAGCTCTCTACAATCCTTGGCCTGCAACTAGGTTTCTTCATTATAGAAATGCTGATTGAAAAACAAAGATTAAAAAAACCCCTAGCAAGAGAGGGTTAATGTGCAAACCACTGGACCTGAGTCCATAAGACATTATTAATTATGGCATCTGGAAAGACTGCTTAGTATATGCAACTGTTTATTACAACAGCATTCAGAGTCTTTACCTCTAAAGCCCAGCCTGTCTGACCCCTATGCCAGAAAATTAGCCAAAAGTCAGGTTGTCCAAATATCGTATGTTACATCAGCTTCTTTGGTACCAGGGCAAATTCAGGCCAAAAGGCACCAAGTTGAGGCTAAAGACACTTGAAAGGACTTCCATTATGATAATTATATAATTACCTATTTTTATGAAGTAAAAATGGAAAGTAAACACGTGCATAGAATACCTCAATTAGAAGAGAGAGACAGGAAATACACCATATCATCACAAAGGCCTCTAGGCACCACTGGCTTACAAAGTGACTGTTGAATGAACTGCGGGACAAATGAATGGAAGAAACATACCTGGACTTGTGGCAGGCTGGCAGCGTGGTCTGGTGACATGTGTTCCTGGGAGAATTCAGCTGAATAATTATTTAAGATCTGTTTCAATTTTTCTATTTCTTCATCACATTCGCTAGTCTGTTTGATGACTATCTATAAAATAACCCCCCCCAAAGAAGAATCTTTGTTACAATCCAAGGCCTAGATCAATGGGCTACTGCTAACATCTGTCCTTATCACAAGTTCCAATCAATTACAGCAAATACGCACCACATAGATTCCAATAGGAAATGGTAGCCTAGATAGAGAACCAATGTTTGCAAAGCTGGCACCCGACCTTGTTCTACCTGATGCCAGAGCGCCTTGTGCAGTGCTCGGAGTACAGATCTAATCAGACATACTTTTGCTCCTAAGTATTTCCAGCCTAATGGGCTTATCCTGGGAGCATTTGATAGCATGTTAACATAAAGCTGCCAAGTTTTATGAAATTACTGGTATGTCACATACACCATTTTAATACATATTCCATGTGGGGCTTTCCTCACAGAAAGGTGACATCCCTGATTCAGGATGGAACGGGCATGTGATGTGAGAAATGTGGATTTTCCTGGTCCAGACACATCCTCACCTGGTACCTCCTGGGATCTGTGATATACATTTTATAGTAAAAGATTGAGGTTTGAAAGCAGTCAGAGTTGGCAGAACAAGACAAAACCAGAACAATACCTGGGATCTAGGGTTAAGATAGTAGCAGAACTTGAACCTACTTGTGTACTGAGATGATCCAAGTGTAATGAAAGATAAAGAAATGGACTTCAAAAGAAAATCTAGATATTTCCCTGGTACGCTTCACAATGAAGCAAAATGCCTTTTGAAACTACGAAGTTTCTGGCCAACACAGAATTCTTCCTTGTATTTTCTTTAATATTTAACTATAATTTTAGCTGCAGGCTGGAAATGAATAACTACGTTCACTGTGCACACCTGCTCCCCAGCCATCAATAATGAGCTACATCCCACTACTCCCACCAAAAGTAATTTGTCTTATTCTCCACAACAAGGGCACTTAACAATACCTAAAGTAGGAATTCAAAGAAATGTACCATATTCTAATGATTTTCATTACCACTGGCTTACTGAGCTTTGCAATATCTGAGATGACATCCGATTTCCACTAACACAATACGATGGAAAATTTTAGTAGCACAGTTTGATACCTAACTTGGCACAAAATCTAATTTCCTCTCTATTTCCCCTCTTTCATCTTGTGCGGGAGTCACTTTAAAGCATAGTTAGGACTGTTATTCTCCTTTCCTGACCAGGAGACCAATAAAGCACAAAAAAAGATTAAAAATAATAGGTCAAATTTTCTATCTTTCTGTTTTTCTTCCCTTTATATTATTAAAAAATAGTACATTGAGTGCCAGATCTTTCTTTCTCCCTGTGGACGTTAGGAAATGACATCAGCTGGTCAGTAGTCAGGCCAGAAACTACGTGAACTAAGACTCAAACCAGAGATGACAATGTTCTCCAATCTTAGGAGAACAGAGTGACCACCAGAAGTGAATGAAATGTAAGAGGGAGAAAGAGATAGCAGTTTTCTTCCCATAACCAGGTGATGGGCGGGAGGAGGAAAAATAACCTGTCCTCCTAGCCTGACCCATTTAATCAAAAAAAAGTAGGCAGGACAGGGTGACTACCGAGAGGGCCGAGAAGCCTGGGACTCTTTCAGAAATCTCCTTTTCTTGTAAGAGTAGTTGTTGATGTAGGAATACAAACCAAAGTAAAATATAATGTCTAGTTAATGATAATTCCTGACTTGAGACAGATTAATCAAAACGTAAGAATAAAAAAAAAAAATCCGTGAGCTAGAAGATGTCAGAAGCAAGAGACCCCAAAATGGAGAATAAATACTAGAAACTCAACTTCTTTTCTTATTTGAACACGAATTAATCTTGACACCAGTTAACTCTGGTCCTTTAGCAAGTCACCTAACCTTTGGACATTAGTCTCCTAATGTGGAAAAATAAAGACGGCAAAGTGCCTATTCTATCTGTATCGTGTTGGTAATAAAACAAAATGATTAATGGGAAAGCAACTGAGATGTATAAAGAGATTATTGTGGGTCTGTCAGCTTCAGGAGACTGCAAATGTACACTGTTCAGGGTTGAATCTCTTCCCACAGTGTTTTACCCATGTAGATCTTTGATTATTATAGATTGAATTAAATAGACCATAACTACACTTTAATGTCTTCAACCAGGACAAAGGTAAGAGCTGAGAAAAATCACTTTGGCCCCATTTGAGCAATAAGACACTCTCTTATACCAAATGTCACCTCCTGGATAGTAATACTAGAAGAGACCAAAAAAAAAAAAAACAACACCGGTAGCATCTTACTTTGTCATGGGAATGTGATCGACCCAACCATTAAAACAGAAAACACAACCAGCTTTTGCTGAACACTTTCATCCAATAGGTTGGCCATCACCACAAACTACTCACCTTTAATAACTCATTTTGCTCCTGAGTCACATTTTCCAACAGTTTTACACCTTGTGAAAGCTGATTTGTCCTCTGAAACACAGGCAGAGTTTTCATTACTGTCTGGGGCAACCTCAGCTCCACTTGGTAAGACAGTATTTCAGCAATGGTTTTCTTCATGGGACGTATATTTTCCAATATGACCTTAATGATATTAGATAAACATGGTACATAAATGGGGAAAAAAGGCCACTTCCTAAATCTATTTCAAATTAAACTTTAGTCTTTATTCTACAGTTTTGATTTTTAAAAAAGTTCTTTAGCTCAGGTTGAAAAAAATTTAGGTATTACTTGCAACCCGGTAGTTAAAAGTCTCAGAGAAGAATGCTTGGAGCAACAGTCACCTCCCGCACAACATCATGCATCTAGACAACCCTGTCCTTCTTTGTCTCCCTCCCACCCCTCTCTGTAGAGCTGCCGTTTGGCTTTGTGTGTCGCCCCCAGGCAGCGAGCTATGCAAAAGCAGGCACGGCCTCCTATTAACTTTCATGGCAACTGCACCCAGCACAGGGCTCTCCACACAGCAGGCCCTCCAAAAATGCTTACTGAATTGAACAGAACAGCCTGGCCAAATTTCATAAGTCCCAAAAATGTACTCATAGTTTGCTTTAATGACATCTGATCAAAGGAAACCTGGATTTACATTATGAATAAATTAGAGGAGAGTATTCAAGTTACTAAGTACTTCGTATATAGTATTTCATTTAATCTTCACACCCACCCTAGAAGGTAGGTATTATGACTTGCTGTTCACAGGTAAGGAAACCGGGTTCACAAAAGTCAGAAGACCCAAGTGAGGGCAGACTGTCACAGGCAGGGTTGGGATTAGAACGCCGGGCTGCCTGACCCCAAAGCCCATGCTCTTAACCGTAGGCTAAATAGCATACAACATTTGTATGCTGTTTAGCATGACTCAGCTCCTATGCTAGGGGCTCTACATACATTATAATTCTCCAACATAATCACTACAATACCAATGTACAGATATGAAAGCGAATCCATGAAATGCTAACCAATCACTCAAAGGCACACAGCCAGCAAGCAGGGCAGCTGGGGCTGGAACCCAGTTTCCTGACTTGGAGGCTTAAGCTCTTGGACTATTAAACATCTGGGTTTGACTTGAAGGAAACACTATGAAATTTTGAAACTTTAGAAATTAAATGAAAAAATAGCCTAAAGGGAAAATTATTTTTATATAAATAGCACTGCAAATGGTTTAAAATGATATTTATAGTCATTCATATCTACTTCTCAACTTTATTTTGCTATTCCTTTAGCAAGACCAAATACTTTATGTCACATCATATTTTTTAAACATATTTCTTTTTTTTAAATCGAAGTATGGTTGGTTTAAATGCTGTGTTAATTTCTGGTATACAGCATAGTGATTCAGTTATACATACATATATTACATATATATTCCTTTTCATATTCTTTTTCATTATAAACTATTACAAGCTATTGAAGTTAGTTCCCTGTGCTATAGAGTAGGACCTTGTTGTTTATCTATTTTAGATATGATAGTATCTGCAAATCCTGAACTCCCAATTTATCTCTCCCCACCCCTTTCCCCTCTGGTAACCACAAGTTTGCTTTCTATGTCTGTGAGTCTGTTTCTGTTTTGCAAATAAGTTCATTTGTCTCACTTTTTTAGATTCCACATATGAGTGGTATTATATGGTATTTTTCTTTCTCTTTTTGGCTTGCTTCACTTATTATGACAATCTTCAGGTCCATCCATGTTGCTGCAAATCGTATTACACCACAGCTTCTTTATCCAATCATCTGTTGATGGACATTCAGGTTGCTTCCGTGTCTTGGCTATTGTAAATAGTGCTGCTATCAACATTGGGGGGTATATATATCTTTTTGAATTAGAGTTTCCTCCTAATATACACCCAGGAATGAGATTGCTGGATCATGTGGTGAGTCTATTTTCAGTCTTTTAAGGAATTTCCATACTGTTTTCCATAATGGCTGCACCAAACTACATTCCCACCAACAGTGTAGGAAAGTTCCCTTTTCTCCACACCCTCTCCAGTATTTATGGTTTGTGGACTTTGGAATGATGGTCATTCTGACCAGTGTGAGGTGATATCTCACTGCAGTTTTGATTTGCATTTCTCTGATAATTAGTGATAATGAGCATTTTTTCATGTGCCTATTGGCCACCTGTATAGTCTTTTTTTCTCCCCTTTAATGGAGGCACTAAGGATTAAACCCAGCACATCAAGCATGTACTTTACCACTGAGCTATACCCCACACCCTAATATCTTTTTTTCACATCATATTATAAGATATTTTAAAATAAGCATAGTAAGTATTAAGAGAAAATATTTTTAATGATGATCCATGCTTACCTCCCCATGCTTAAGATGTTCTTCAGGTGAAAAGTCAAATATTTCTTCTGATAACAGGATAGCTTTGATTTTTGAAACTCTTTTCTCCATTGATTTTACTTCCATTTCAATGGCAACCACATCCTAGAATTTCATAAACAAAAAAACACACTCAGGTAGTATATGTTGTATGTTAATAACCTGTATAAAACACAATTTATTCTCATTTATTCTATGCTCGTATTTAATCCAAATCCGTTTGCCACTTCTATCTCTTAAGAACTAACCAAGTGCTACACAGATTGTTCTCAATAAAAATGTTATTCTATTAGTAATAGCATACTGTACTACAAAGCACTGCTTATACCTTGTTGAGTTAAATATCCTCATAGGGCCAATTTTCAATTATTTATGCTATGAGAACGAAAGCAGTATGCTTTTGAACCAATTTTTAAGTAAATTCTCAATTATCTACAAACTCTTTAGATTTATCTTTGGAATGTGTTTAAACACTTGAATGCAGTGGGTCTAACATTGAAAAATTTCCCACTACTTTAAGTAAAATGCTAAAGTCACCCTTGGGAAACAAACACACAAGGAGCTGGAAAATTGCCAGATTTTCTTGCCAATGCCCTAACAATCTGTTGCCATGTGGAGAGTCACTAAACAACCTTAATACCTACTCAGGTTAATTTAGACAGTCAATCATTTGTGTAGTGGCTATTCTCCTATCAATGTCAACTTCTAGAATGTGGCCAAGAATCTTAAAGTGAAAATGCTGCAATTTGTGCTATTAAACCTACATATTTAAGAATATGTGCTTTAAAACCTACCCACTGAAGTCCACCTACACTGTAAGAGGGCCTTCAGATCTTTTGAGCTTAATGCAGATAAACTGAAGCAAAAATAACATATATTTAATATTGAAAGGAACAGAAAAACTTCCATAGAAATAGACTAAGGGTTTCAAATTATAGCAATTTGGAGCCATTCAATATAGGACAAACATAACTATAATAGCAAATGAAGCAGTAAGTATAGTAACTTATACTGATATCTTCAAATTATGAGAAGTTCAATTATATTGAAATTATTTTCTGCACTTTATATTTAAAGAAAGTATATAAAGGTATACAATGTATCTTAGAGTAACTTCAAGCAAAAGTTGTAGAAGCATTTAATGATTTTGGAAAAAGCTTCAATAACCAAGAATATTTAACAAGTATGAGTCCCTGCAATTAAGTAAGTATGGCGCTGGGACTGTAACTAAGAAATAAAAGGTAAATAATTAAGACTAACTGCATCTGCCTTTGCTGTGTGTCTCCATCTTTAAATAAATACCTTACACATTTCAAGCTAAAATAAATAAAATAACTTAAAAACCCAGTGGCTGGTATATAGCAGAACCTCAACAAATATCTGCTATTGGTGAATGAAGACTTGGGAAGTTATCTGCTTTAACTCCTTCTTTGCTAATCTGTGCTTTAAAATCAATAATATCTCCTCTCTGACAGAGAAAACACTGAGCTTATTTGATCAGGATTCTTCCCTTTAAATAGACCACTTCTGGACTGGGAGTGGGGATATAATTTCTTGTTGTAGTTGCACTACAGGTTGCAGAGTAAAGTAAGATATAATTCAAGGAATAACATAAGTGAAAAATGTGCCAGATCAATGTGTCTTCATATAATTGGGAGCTGATTAGCAGTATAACTCTAATTTACTAAATGAACTATAAACTCAGAATAAGAAGCCACATCTATATAGAGCCAACTTACATCAGCCATTCGCTGAATCTGTGGAAGGCTTTCCATGATTTTTTGCTGTAAAGCTGCTACTTGATGACTTAACTCTTGAACAGACTGTGCTAAATCATCTGTTTCAAAAATTATGGACAAGTCTTCCAGATCCGTGAAAGCTGAATGTAACAGATTGTGCTTTTGTTCTGAATCTTCCAAAGCCATCTAGATAATGGGAAATACGGGGAAAAAGAGAGAAACATCAAGATACTGGAACAAGTGGGTTAAAATTTTAATCAGAGAAAATGCTATAACTACGTATGGGGAACATGTTAACTAGACTTATTGTGGGTGATCATTTTGCAATACACACAAGTATTGAATCATTCTGTTGTACACCTGAAACTAATAAATGTATGTGCATTATATCTTAATCAAAAAATTTAAACCAGAAAATTTGAATTTTGCAACATTTCCAACTCCTGTTCAATTCCAGTTTCATAATAAAACACTGAACATTGTCTCTTGTCAATGGCAACAGATGACTATAGAGTCTCTACCTCATTCTGATGGGCTTGCAGCAGCTACTTCACACCATGTAACCCTGCTCCTCTAGCCACGGTTAACAGGGTCAGAAACACTTGACCTGCAGTCCATCCCCCTGAATTTTGGAATTAGGGCCAAGAAAGCCATTCAGTTGGCAGGACTTGTAATGTTGGGAACATGGATTTGGGAGATATAGATAAATGAAGTGGGGACGAGAAATGAAGAGGTAGTCCTGTGGCTTGCCAGTCCTGGTGCCAGTGTTGTCCTTGGCCTTACCACATGGAGCCACTGACTCTCATGATACATCTCTACAGCTTCAGCTGACTTGAATAACCTGATACCAAAAGAGCTCTATCTGACAAAACCAATTAAACTGAAAAATATCCCTTTTTAGAATTTCTTAGATACTCTTCCTTATAATATTTCTTTTTCTTTTAATAATTATAATTATTAACTTTCAAGCTTAAGATTTCAAAATATTTCAGCCACCTATGAGAAATGTTCAACTCACTAATGTAGTCTTCAGGTAATTAAAAGAAAATCACTGATACGAGAGAACATTTACTTATGCAACTAGAACTCTAGTCTTAAGTCTAAAATGGATCAGGTTATTCAGGATTTTATATTGATCTTATTCAAAACTCTAGCAGGAGAAAGCTTTAAGGAAAATAGAACTTAAAACCAAAGCTTTTTCCAATAATCCTATTTACAGTAACAGCAAGGAAAAAAAAAAACCCATAAAATACTCAGGAATAAATTCAACATTTTACATTAAAGAGAAATTAAATAAGATGAAAATAAATAGAGAGATACATCATGTTCCTGGATTGGAACAGTCAATGTAGTTAAGATGTAAATTCATGCCAAAGTCATCAAGATGTAATATAATCCCACTCAAAATTCCAGCAGACCTCTGCATCGATATTGACAAGTTGATTCTAAAACGTACATGGAAATGCAAAAGACCCAGGTTAGCCAAAACAAATTTGAAAAAGAAGGACTAAGTTGTATAATTTCTGCTACCTGGTATCAAGATTCACAATAAAGCTGTAGTAATCAAGACTGTGCCATATTGGTAAAAGAACAAAGATCAGTGGAACAGAAGAGAGAGCCCAGATATAGACTCACAGACATAAGAGGTCAATTGGTTTTCAACAAAGCACCGAAGTAATACAACAGTGAGTCTTTTCAAACATGATGCTAGAACAACTGGATATTCCCATAGGAAAAAAGTGAGCCTTGATTCTTGCTTCATACACATACGAAAATTAACTTAAAATGGATTATAGACCTAACATAAGTGTTAAAACTATAAAAATTTCTAGAAGAAAAGATAGGAGGAAATCTTTGTGACCTTGGGTTAGATAATGATTTTTCAGATACAACACAAAAGTACAATCCATAAAAGAAAAATATTGATAAATCAGATCTCATCAAATTAAAAACATTCGCTCTCTGAAAGACAATATTGAGAGAATGAAAAGAAAAGCCACAGCTAGGAGAAAATATTTGTAAATCACATATCTGATAAAGGACTATATTTTAGAATATTTCATAAATAATTCATATAATTCAATGGTAAGAAGACAAATACTCAGTTAATAAATGGGCAAAAAACCCCAAAACAGACATTTCACAAAGGAAGTGTATAAATGTCAAATAAGCATATGAATAAACACTCAAATAAGCACACGAATAAATGTTCAAATACATAAATCATTAATCATTGGAGAAATGCCACTTAAACCATAATGAAATACCACTACATGTCACTGGAGTGGCTAAAATTTAAGACAGATAATATCAACTACTGGTAAGAATGTGGAGTAATTATTCCTCACACTGCCAATGGGAATGAAAAATGGTAGTCATTTTGGAAAACAATTTGGTGGTTTTATATGTAGTTAAATACCATGAGAGCCAGCAATCTACTCCTAGGTATTCACCAAATGGAATGATGTGAAAGCATATGTCCACATAGAGATTTGCAAATGAATGTTCATAGCAGCTTTGCTCATAATAGCTGTCCCAGCTTCTACACTGGCCCCGATAATCCCTACCTCCTGGTGTTCATGCCCTTGTAACTGGCTCTCCTAAATGTAGGCTCAGCTTACTGATTTACTTCTAATAAAATATGGAAGAAGTGATGAGATTCCACTTCCAAGATCAGGTTAGAAGAGGATGTTTCTGTCTTGGAAGCCCTCTCCCTCTCTATTATTTCATTTGTGTGAGGGAAGCCAGCTGTCATGCCATGAGGCAGTCTTGTGGAGAGGCCACATGTCTATGAATGGAAGAGGATCTCCTGAGTCCTGCCCACAGCCAAGGGAATGAGCTCGGAAATGCATCTTGTCTCTTCCTTCATCCAAACTGAGCCTTCAGATGAGACCAGTCTTGGCCAACACCCTGACTGGATTCTCAGAGAGACCTTGAGCCACAGGCACTCAGGTAAGCCATGCTTGAATTTCAGACCCACAGAAATTGTGATGTAAGAATTGTTTCTTCTTGTTTTAAGCTGCTAACTTCAGGAGTTACACAGCAATAGATGTGGAATACATAGCCCCAAAGTTGAAACAACCCAAATGTTCATTAAACATATTGCATATTTCCACAAATGGAATAATATTCAGCAGTCAAAAGAATAAACTACCTATAAACGTAACAACCTGGATGAATCTCAAAAGCTAAGTAAGAGAAGTCAGGCACAAAAGACTATATGCTGTATGATTCTATGTGTAGTGCGAGTGGAGAAAAGGCTAAACCACAGGAACAGAAAGCAACGAGTGAGTGATTACATGGGCTGAAGACAGGTGAAAGGGCACTGACTGCAAAAGGACATGAGGAAACTTCTGGGGGTGATGGAAATGGTCTTTATCTATTGACGGTGGCAGGGATTACACAACTGTATGCCTTTATCAAAACTCACCTAACTATATTTATATTTTACTCTATGTAAATTAGACCTTAATGAAGTTGATTTTAAAAACAAGATGCTTCCCTATTTTCACAATGATAATTTACGTTTCAGTGAGTCTTAATTACAACACCCGTCTTTATGGAATCATCTTCAGATTATGAAAACCTATTTTAACAAATACAATCCAGGGGAAGGTTATAGTGCAATTAAAACAGACTTTTAAAGCTTAGTTGAGGGTTGTGATACTTCTTTAAGAGTCATTTTAAAAATCAATGCCAGGTAATGTTAGAAAAATGGTAAAGGGTATCCTAAAAGTAGGACAACTATTTTCAAAATAGGAACAAAATGGGGTATTTACATGTACCTAATAATTTGGGACTTGTTTCCCACTGGGGGATTTATTAGGATATATTTTGTGGCAAATCAGCCTGCATGACCCCTTGTCCCTACTTCCTTTAGTAATAACCTAGAATTCTACTCAGTTCTAGCTCATGAACAAAGGCCAGCAAATTAGGGTGTCCTAAACAGTTTGAGAGAGATACGTTCACACTTTCACATTTGTGTCAGAAGACAGTAAAAGCTCAGCTGTTTTTGCTCGAGCTCATTCTTGTACAGTTTTTTTTTTAAACTCCTAAGTAAGTATTTGAGGAAAAAAAGCATCACTCCTCTCTTCTGTCTTTGCAAACTTACTGCGAATGGTGAAAACTACAGGAGATTTAAAATAAAAAGACGACATGCTTGGGGGATGTAGAAAGTCATCCCAAGAGGTGGAGGCAGAAATCACTGGAGAGGGGAAGAAAAGAAACAAGTGGGTGAAAATGCAGTATCTTTACAAACTGTTACCATAAGAAAAAAATGTGCCAACAAATCTCAAACATCAGGGAGGTACGAAGTCAGCTGTTACTTAGGAACACAGTGTGCTACTTTTAAAGATATATTAAAAAAAAAAAAAGAGCTGGATTAACTTTGAGGTCTGATCACTCTAAAAAATTGTTATAGAATAAACCCTTTCTAAAGAGATTCTTTCTCCTGGCTGGATAATATCAGAGAAGAGAAATATGCTTTCACAACAAAATTTAATCCAATAGTTGGCATCCGGGAGCTCCCTTGCAGTCATGGCCCTGAGTAGGAAAATACTTTTCATTTGTTTTGTCTCTGGAAGTTAGCATGGAGACACAGGGCACCTGCAGAGCACCAGGAAGAACGGGAGATTTGGAGTCATGGCATGCTAGACCCGGAGGGAATGACAGATTCGTTTTCTAATGCTGTGTAACTACCACAAACTTAGCAGCTTAAAATAAAACAAACTTATTGTCTCGTAGTTTCCATGGCTCAGGAGTCCAGGTGTAGCTTAGGTGGGTCCTCAGCTCAGGATGTCACAAGGCTGTAATCAAGGTGCCATCTGGAGCATGGGTTTCTCTTCCAAGTTCATTCAGGTTGTTGGGGGTAGAATTCAGTTGTAGGACCGAGATTCCTATTGCTGCTATTGACTAGGGGTCACTCTCAGCATCTAGAGGCCACCCTAGGGTGTTGGCCCCACCGCACTCTCACAGAATGTTGATTACTTACTCAATCCAGCAGGAGAATCCCTCTCTAGTTTGCTACCAGGGAGTCTTACATATCCCTCATTGGTCATGTATTCATGGCAGCGACTGTCCCATATCCTTAGCTACATAATGTAACCTAGTCAGTGGAGTGACTGTCTCATCACATACTCAGATTCCTGCCCACACTCAAGGAGAAGGGACCAGACAGGTCCTCTACACCAGGGAACAGGAATATCGGAAGCCATCTTGAAATTCAACCAACCAAAACCATCAGTACCAGTCAGTGCAACATTCTTACTTTATAGACAGGGAAACCATGGCCCGTGGAGAACACAGGAAATTACCCAAAACATCATGAAGTAGTTATCAGGATGGAAAGAACTAGACCCTGGTCTCCAAATTCCCTGTCTAGAGCCTGCCACTCTCACAAGCTTTCTCTGACCACGTGGCATGCTTGAAGACAAAGTTGTTTTTTCAGGAAAGAAGGGGGAACAAAGCATCACGACAGTCAGCTAAGCAACTGATCATTCTGTAGATTCTATGACACCAGGAAACACCGGAAGAACACTCACCTGAAGAGTGCTAGCATGGTGACTCAGCGTCTTTGAAGAGTCATAGTCAGCAGGATCAGCCAGCAAACGACTGGTATTTTCTATCCAAGCCTCAGTACTCTTTAAAAGATCGTGATACTCCTCCATCTTAACTGTGGCCTGTGAAAGAGAAGCAGTACCAAACCCAGCCTGATAGCTTCCACCTGAGTTGAATGATTCTTGAATGAAGACTTGGTGCCTGTTGGTCAGTGGTGGCAGGCCTTGTAGGGCCCCAACCCACAATGGCTGGGCCACTTGCCCATCCCTTCAACCTGTGAAACTCATCCTGACCACAGGATGGATTGAAGAAGTTCCACCCCAAAGCTAGGGGCCTCAGCAAGGGTTCCAAGTTAGCCTTGCAACTAGTCTGGTTCTCATTCAATGCTCCATTCTGAAAACTGAACTTAGACTTTGTCCTCCTGTACAGGCCCTGTCATAGAGTACCGCAGTTCCTCTGAGAGTAGGTTCTTGCTTGGCTTTTACTAGATCACATGCACAGCTCACCCACCATGACCCCTACTTGGAAGGGAGGGCGGGGGTGTCTTATTCCCAAACGGCATCCTTTCTCTGGCTCCCTCTGGGGGCCTCTTGAAATCGCCTGTCCAATATTCCCTTACCTGTGGAGAAGCCCAGTTCTCACCTGGACTCCTACTGTGGTCTGACTTTTGGATCCTTGCTTCTGTCTGTCTAACCAGACTCCCTGCCTGTGCCAGCAGTGAAATCTGTCCCCTTGGTGCCCACCTGAATCTACTGTATGGCTCCAGCTTCAGGTCCTAAAACTGGCAATTGGAGAGAAACTGGCTGTCTCTGAATATATATTTTTGTTTTGTTTTAAACCCATCCCAATACCACCACATGCTACATGAAGCTGTCATGCATCACAGTAATACCTTGTTTAATTGTGAGGTTCTAGATTCTGCCCTCTGTGATACTTGCTGATACTGCTGGAAAGGAATCATCAAGTTATCCATCCATTCCTGTGCCTGTCCTGGGTCCTGTTCAACAATGTCCTGAACTTCTGAATCCAGCTCATTTAGCTTGGAATGCCAGAGATCCAGCTCATCCCACAGTTTCTGAAGAAGAAAATCGTAAATCAGTTTGGATGAAGATGGGTTAATTTCTAAGTTTCCACACAGTATTTGCACTTGTAAATGCTACCAAAAGGACATCACAGAGACGGCATTGCAGGCAAAGTTTTTCACTTATGCCCAGCAACCACTTGTGACCTGAACTGAAAAACACTTTTTCTGAGATCTCTTACTCTTAACTGTGTTCATTTCACTACAAATTAGCTGTAACAGAGCAGAAAGTCCTGGACATTTCCAGAGATGAATGACACCAAACAAGGTCAACATAACCTTAATCTTTTGAGAATGATGAGGTAACATTATGTTCAAAAGGGCTTAGGTAAATACCTGAACCTATTTAGAGCTATCTATACATGTACTTAATCTGCTCAGACTCAGGACTAAAGCAGTGGCAGAAAATTCTAGCCATATGTATTAGTAGCAACTGCTTTTGGCTCAAGAAACCAGTAGGATGGGTTCAAATATGGACTTGACTGGGAGAGAAAATCTCAAAGGTAACATTCAATTCTTACTAAATATCCACGTAAGAACATAATTTTTAGAAATGGGAAAATCCGACTGGTTAAATTGCTTATCAAGAACCAAGATTTTGTCCAATGGTTAGCCATATTCTGACCATTTTTATTTTTTAATTTAATTCTTTTTTATCTTTGATATCATATTAGTTTGGCTTAGAGGGGGCTGCAAAGTCAAAGGCAGGTATGATTGCAAGCAAATCTTGTTTATCTTATTTTAAGAGAGTATATATAGTATAATATCTTCTTAAATGAAAGGACATATACAATAGATATAATTATTTCTTTTAATTTTTGTAATTGTTTGTTTATTTTTACCAAAAGAAACAGTAGAGTTAAATTAGAAACCAAAGGAAGGGCTTAACTGCAGGGAGGGAATAGAAAGGAAGTGGTAAGAAGTTAGACTTCTTTGAGGATAACTTTTTTTAAATTCAGGTATAACTGACATATTATATTAGTTTCAGGTGTACAACATAATACTTCAATACTTGTATATACTGCAAAATGATCACCACAATAAGTCTAGTTAAAATCTGTCACTATATATAGTTACAAAAAATTTCTTTCCTTGTGATGAGAACTTTTACGATCTATTCTTTTAGCCCTATTTTTAAAAGTCTCCATTCATATTAGAATATTAAAATGCAGATTAAAATAGTTTCCCATATGCAGTTTACTTGGAAGTTAAGAGGTAGAATGTTACATTTATATACAGTTCTACCTAAAACACTTTACAACAGAAATAAATTTGGAATTTCTAGTTTCCTGTTTCCCCTTAGCAGTCTAAAGAAAAGCTGTTAATACAATTCATATTCTTTGGCAATTCTAGGTCTTTGATGGTTCCATATAAATTTTATTATGATTTGTTCTAGTTCTGTGAAATATGTCCTGGGTAATTTGATAGGGATTGCATTAAATCTGTAGATTGCCTTGGGCAGTGTGACCATTTTAACAATACTTATTCTTCCAATCCAGGAGCATGGGATATCTTTCCATTTTTCAAAGCCCTCTTTAATTTCCTTCATCAGTGGTTTATAGTTTTCTGTGTATAATTCTTTCACGTCTTTGATTAGATTTATTCCTAGATATTTTATTACTTTGGGTGCTATTTTAAAGGGGATTGTTTCTTTACTTTCTTTTTCTGTTGATTCATTGTTAGTGTAAAGAAA